GGAGTGCGGTTCGCGACCCCGCGGGGGTGGATTGGGACCCCCGCTCCCGTGCCGCGCTGGTGTCTTCCTTGTCTTCGCTTCATGGCTCGTCGCGGCGGGTCATGTGGACGTGTGCGGCGGCCATGTTATGGGCTATCTGGCATATTCGTAACAAGCTTACCATTGAGGGTGTTTTTCCCTCGCACCCTGCTGACGTTATCTTCAAATGCATCGTGTTCTTACAGCAATGGACACCGCTGGAAAGGCAACAGGACTCTGATCTTCATCGTCATGCGATTAACCGCCTCCGCTCTGTCTACGCCGAGTCCCGCGCCCCGTCGTCCGCGTCGTCTGCTGGCTCATAGGGATGGGCAGCCCCTTTTGGTTCTACTTTCAGCTGAGCCTGCGTGCTCGTTTCGCTAGGCCGGTCGCGCACTGTATCGTACTTATTTCCGTCTCCGGTTTAGTTTGCTCTCCTGGACTTGTTTCGCTTTTGGTCTGTTGCAAAGTGTGGGTTATGTGGTTGTGCTACGCTGCCTATGTTGAGGGCTTTATTAATTTAAAGCCGGATGCCCCTGGCATCTCTGTTCTAAAAAAAAAACTCGTCTGGCAGGAGGACATTGGGCGTAAGTCGGGGGTGACTCTTGATGCTGCTTGTGTGTTCGTTGAGATGGCTGGTGCTGCCATTCGCCCATTCCCATAACTGGAGAGGCCACTCACGTGGCTAGAGCTGCTCCTGTGATGGCGGCTGGAATTGCCACTCCCGTGGCTGCAGCGGGAGTAAATAGCATAAACTTTGGGTCAGGGTTCAAGAACTATTACAAATTTGTTTTTCACCAATAACTACCAAAAGTGTGGCCGCTGTTTTTAAAACCCAAATGGGTTGGTGCTTAAATCTTAAACCATTTTATGACAACTGGCCCAGTCGTCAGATCCGCATAGCACAAAAGTCAACACAGTTAGAGTGGGTTATTAAGTTGCACTCTATGACAAATGTGATCTACATGTCATTCTCACAAAAATTCCCAACAAAAAAATCCCCAATTTCTCCCCTATCTTCTTCCTTCGACTGGAAGTTAGGAGAGGCTGCCGCGACGGCTGCCATCGATTCAGAGCGTTGCTCCTCTGCGTCCAGTAGTGCCTCAATGCCCTCACCATTGCGCTGCTGCCAGCCTCCCCACCGGAGTCCCCGCCGGGTAGTGGAGGTTGCCCCGTGCTCCCTACCCCTCCGTCTGACCTATAGGGCCATGCACACAGGAGGGAGAAGGGCGACGGCCAGCTCCTGCCGCCGCCCCCATGGTGCTTCGGCCACTCGAGCACCTCCCCTGTACCAATATCATTTGGCTAAATCATCAAAACTATTTTTAGGGTAAATCATCAAAACTTAAACCAATATCATTTGGCTAAATTATCGCAACGTATGACCAAGGGCATAATCGTAGAGGGGGGAATTTGAGTGTCATGAGGGTATATGGGCAAAATCTCGACGACACACATAAAATTTATTTATAAATCAAAACTTAAACATCCAAGATACCAACTTTCGTAACACTTTTTAGTTGTTTCAAGATAAAAATGTTTCAGGCCCTGTACAATGCTTCTTCCCTTTTTTTACTCCATGTATATGATATTTCTTGAGTCAAACTTCATAAAGTTTGACCAAATTTATATGAAAAATATCAATATCTACAATACTAAAAATACACAATATGAAAATTAATTCCACCATGCATCTAATGATATAGATTTGATACCATGAATGTTTTGTTTTCTCTCAATATTGGTCAAACTTTACAAATTTTGACTTAAGAAAAAACTTATATGCAAACAAAAAAGAAGCGAAGGGAGTAACATGCACTACATGTAAGTCAGCGTAAGTACGTCCAAGTCCGGCTGGAACCATATGGCCTGCATGGCTCCTTGGCATAGAAGGAAGGGTAGTAGCATTATTCCCCGAATGAGTAGAACGCCTGCTTCCTGCCACAATCCGTGATCTCACTATAGCTAGGGAGGAACATCTTGTTACATAAGTCTTCTCTAGCAGGCGGCACAGCAATCAGAGCATTGCTCTTATCGCAAAACACGGGCACGTCCTCCATGTTGGGTAACGTAGTAATTCAAAAAAATTCCTACGATTATGCAAGATCTATTTAGGAGATGCATAACAACGAGAGGGAAGAGTGTGACCATGTACCCTCGTAGACCGAAAGCGGAAGCATTATGTTAACGTGGTTGATGTAGTCGAACGTCTTCACAATCCAACCGATCCAAGTAACGAACGTACGACACCTCCGTGTTCAGCACACGTTCAACTCGATGACGTCCCTCGAGCACTTGATCCAGTAGAGGATCGAGGGAGAGTTCCGTCAGTACGACGGCGTGACGGCGGTGTTGGTGATGTGATCCGCGCAGAGCTTCGCTTAAGCACTACTACGCTATGACCGGAGGAGTAAATTGTGAAGGGGGGCACCACACACGACTAAGACAAATCTTGGTGTGCCTTTGTGGTGCCCCGCGCCCCCGTATATAAAGGGGGGAGGAGGAGGCCGGCGGCCTAGGAGGGGCGCGCCAAGGGGGAGTCCTACTTGGACTCCTAGTCCAAGTAGGATTTGGCCCCCCTCCTTCCTTCCAACGGAGGGGGAAAGGGGAAAGAGGTGTAGAGGGAGAAGGAAAGGGGGGCCGCGCCCCCTCCCCTTGTCCAATTCGGATTGGGCTTGGGGGGGCCTCCACCTCCTGTGGCTGCCTCCTCCTCTCCACTATGGCCCATGAGGCC